TTTAATATTTATAAATATTAAAAGGGTTTAGTAATTTAAAATATTAGTAATAAATTTTAAAATATTTTTAATCTTTATAACTTTATTTTTTAAATATAGGGACCAACATCTAAGAAGTTAAAACTTTAATGACTAAATTATAAGAAATAAAGTTTAAGGACTGATTTATAATTGAATCAAAATTTCAAGAATTGAGTTACAATTGGGTCAACACTAAAAAAACTAAATGATTAATTTTTCAAATTTTTATCTTAAGAGACCTATCAAACCTGTCCTTTTCACTTTTCCCTGGCTCATGCTCATAGTCTCTTGCTTCTTAGGCCATGGTTTTTGAGTTCTAATTTGACAACGAATTGTGCATTATCAGCAATTTGGAATGAATGAAATAATTACAATGGAACAGGCTAAAGTATGAGCTAAGGTTAACCTAAAAAACGTAGAAAACTAGGGAAAGACGAAACCCTGGATCAATTAAGCAAATTATATCTAATATATATAATAACATACGCTAATATCTAAATCAAGATAGCTCCGTAATTTTGGCGGTTCCTTTTGGAAAGAGCACAGGAATTATTAGAAGCGCTTGTATTTCTAGTCATTGACTTTAATTTACAAGTGGTTCTGACGTGAACAATTGAAAACGAAGGCGATGGTTAATGGTTATGATGTTTATATTTACTGTATGGGAGCTGCAAGTGGGAAAAGGATGGGGCGAGGGAGAAAGACAGCGAAATTAAACTGAAGACGACAGCTTCTATATTTAAGGTTAAGCCATTTCTGTATCTTTGTTCAATGCTTAGCTGAATATAGTTAATAATACCGACAAAAAATAACAGCATTTTAAACTTTTCATTTCGTTAATTTCATCTTCTTCGACTAGCCTATCTATGATGTGGACGTGACGGCTTTTAACCCTACCATCAGATTTACTGAGCACCGCTTGGTCAGGAGATTTCCACTATTTGTATGCTCTAAATGTAATGATTTTAACTCAGTTTTTATGAGTCATGCTTTCAATTTTTAATGAGAAGCTAATATGATGAGAAATTAAAGTCTGCACATTCATATATTCATGCAATTAAAGTATAAAAAGTATGACCATACGTAAGATTCATGGGCCAGTTTCATATCCATGTTTTTACTGTTACACAAATATACTATAAATAATGATTTTTGTAAACCTAAAAATTTAATGGTCAGTGTGAACGTGTGATACAAAAATTTAAAACGCTAGATGTAAAGCCTTGACCGGGTTCAGTTTCTCTGCGTTCCTTCTGTGTACTCTGGTCGCTGGGCGCCCTTCTTTTTCTTTTCTTTGTATCACGTTGGGCTTCTATTTGGAGAGTCTCTCTTTATGTTTTCTTCCGATCTTTACAATGTGTTGCTTATTTAAAAGGGATTCTGTCATAATCTATGATTATATGTAATGCTTAATTATGAAGCTGAGGAATGGGCAATACTGAAATGCCTTCGACTGGTCTGGGATATTGGCTTTAGGAAGGTTCTTCTTGAATCTGATTGTGAAAACCTCCTTCAGCAGATTAATAGGGGAAAAGAATACAGCAACATGGGCAGCATAGTTCTTTTGGAAATTCATAATATGCTGCAATGGAAATGGGAAATTAAAATACAGCATGTGTTGAGGAATCAAAATCAAGTGGCAGACAAATTAGCAAAGGAAGGAATGTCTTGCTCTTCTTTATTTGAAGTTGCTCCAGAATTTTTAAGGAGCTTAGTATCTTCTATTAGATTGAGATTTCAATCCCCTTCGTACAGTTTCTTTTTAATGTAAGCCCTCTTCTTTATTAAAAAAAAAAAAACACACACACACACACTATCGAAAGGATATGATATAAATGATAGCAGTTGGATCTTCATCAATATTATTTTTTAGTTCAATCTTTGAAAATGTGTATGAAAAAAATTATTTAAAAGAAGATAATCTTTTAAATAACACTCAAATTCTTCAAGAGATTAATTGAACTCAAAAATAATCAACACATCATAAGGTATAGATGTGGCATACTTGAAATTTACTACTATATATCCTAGTTTTAAACAAATACAACTTTTCTTTGACTTACTTGACGCTATCAATCTTCTATTCAGGGTTGATATAGCTAATCATCCTTTTGAGGATGTTATTAGAACAACCAAGGAATTGATATATTAAAACTGAGATTTGGAAATTCAGTTTTGCAGCAAAAATGGCATGAAATGTGCAGATTACATGGCTAAAATAACTCATCATTCTAATAGGGATATCACGGTGATCACTGAACCGCCTTAGGGATGTCAGCGGCTACTTTTGGAAGGCCTTAAGTCTAGTAATTTACTGTTTGTAGTTTGTTTTGTTATTGTTTGTGTATCCCAAGCTCAGCTTGTGGTTTCAATTCTATATATATATATATATATATATATATGTATGTATGTATGTATTAAGATAAGATCCGCAAAAATGTTTGTGCTGACTGCAATGCACGCTTGCCAAAATTCAAGTAAATCCTCACAGTGCGGGCCTTCGCCGCTCCAAAGCGTTCAAAGTCACAGCTTCTTGTGCGTGGCGTGACTCGTAAAAAACTCAGAATGGAACTCATCGTGGGTGTGGTTATATAAATTATTTTTATTATTAATAAAGAATACTCCCTCCTATCTTATTTCCAAGAGAGGGTGTGTGATTTTTTTAAATTAAAATATATTTTCAGTCATTTAATTTTATATAAAATTTTACTTTAATCCTTTAATTTTGTTCATAATGTATCTTTTCAATTCTTCAATTCTAACATTATTAGTCTTAATAATTATTTTTTGTGTCAATCATTATTTTTTTAAAAAATAAACTTAATATGTAATATTTAAGAATGTTTTGTCAATAATTAAAAGTTTAATATAAAGATTTGTTGGGATAAAACTAATAATGTTAGAGTTAAAGAATTAAAAATAAACTTTATAAAGTTAAAAAACTAAAATAAAATATTACATAAGATTAAAAGATTAAGTGTAAACTTTAGCCATTTTTTAATTCTTTCTATATAATAATATTATTGAATTGTTATCATAATTTTTTATCCTTATTAAATATCTGTGTGATGGAGAGTATATGTCACTAACGCATATAGATTTAATAGGAGTTTTAAGTTTTTTTTAATTATAATAAAATATATTAAAAGTCACTTATATCATGTATGTATTATTTGCTTTTTAATTAACTTATACTTCTTTCAATTTTTATTATAGAATACTTTTAACTTTTTCATGCATATCAAGAAAAAAAAACTTCTTGATATTATAAAAAAGTGAGACGTGCTTTCATTTTTATCCTTAATTTTAAATAATAACACAACTATATTAAATATATTCACGCTAATTAAAAAGAGGTAAAATTAAAAAAAATAATTCTATTATTATAAAGTGGGTTATATTTTAAATTAAAAATTACTTTTAAAAAATATTTTATAAATAAAATCGGAAGGAATATATATCAATGACTAATGTAATGAGCAATTCATATTCCTAAAAAATCAGTACAAACTTTTTAAACATACGCCATTCGTTAGATGCAATCGACTTTCGTAGTTGTCGTCATAACCAAATTACTCCCTTTAATTTTAAATAAATATAGGAAAACTTCCACAGGTAATGATAGGCCCAGATTGTTGGTGATCTTACAACATCAACTTCGAGTACTTTTTTTCCCCCCGGCCAAGTGAGCACTTTATTTTTTATTTTGGTCAAAGTGATTTACACGTTGAATATTGAGAATTCGTCCATTTAATATTGACAAAAATTAAATTGAAAACAATTTGCATTGTTTTTGTAAAGATTAAGAATAAAGATAGATTTTGTTTTTTCATTTATGAATTACTATCTTCATTCCAATTTATGAATCATTTTATAAGAGATTTGATATTTCAAAATATATAATATTTTAATAAAAAAAGGATCATTAATGATATTATTTTAATGCTATTCTTCACATGTATTCTCTCTCTTAAATACTCTTTCATAGTTTCACCAATGGAGCTTTAAATAAAAAGTATTTTTATAAATTTATATTTTTATTTTAAATATTAAAGTTGTAAAGTATATTTAATGAGTTTTATTATTATTTAAAATATTTTTTTATTTTTAAAATAATATTTAATTTTATATCTTTAAAACACCTTTTTTATACAATTATCTTTAAAATACTATTTAAAAACACATTATCAAATAGATTTTTTTAAAAAAATAGAAAACTATTTTCAAAATATATTACTAAATAAGTCCTTGGGGCTATTTAAAATTATTTTTATTTTATTATTTTAAAAACTAGTGTTTTGTAAAAACATATTTTGAGAATAAAAAATAATAAAAATATGTCTTTTTTCATTCTTTCTTATTCTCCAGAACAATAATTTCATAAAATTTAAAAGTTATTTTTACTTCTCTATTCTCTAGCACAATATTTTAATTTTTTTTATTTTTTAAAATACTTTTTTAAAACACGTTATTAAATAAATTTTTTTATTTTTTTATTTTAAAGAATAGATAATTGTTCTCGAAATAAATTGCCAAACACGCACCTATTTCTCAATTTTCATGCTGATTTTCACTATGTTGTTTTGATTTTATTAGATGCCCTTGAAGGGACCAGGACAATTTATCAAATCATCATACATGTATGGTGTGGAGAGGGTCTATGACCATCCACGCGCGCCACATATGTGTTGAAAAAATGGCATGATGAAGTAAAAAAATAGTATAATGATATGTGAGGAAAGTGTGAATGAACGAAAGAGGCATGTCAATATGTGACTGGGGATGGGGGATGGAACATGAAAGAAGATAGAGATATTAGCCAAAAAAAAAACAAAGAAAAAAAAGAAAGAAGATAACGATAAGTGACGTGGGTTCCGTGCCCCACTGTCGCCGAGAGACCCCAACATGGTCGCTGAGAATAATAAAGAAGTCCACCGGCTCCGATTTAATGACCCCATTTTCTGATGCTAAAATGCTCACCACTATTGCTACCTACATCTTCTCCAACTTCCCCCTTCTTTCTGGTTTCTCACGCTTTTCCCCTCACTCTCGCTCTCTCTCTCTCTCTCTCATGTCCACTTCAATTCAATTCCGTAGGCCCCATCCCCTTCTCTCCTCGCCTCCTGTTCTCTTCTATATACAATTACAAAGACCTTCTTCTTCTCTTCCCTCACCTTCGCTCCCCCTTACCCCTTCCTGTTTCTTCGACTCTTCCTATTTCGCTCAACCTCATTTGCATTTTTATGTGCTCCTGTCTTGTTGAACGGTGCTCTCTGGGTATGATAAGCCTCTAATTCAGGAAGCGAAACAGCTCTGAGCTGCTGTTTTCTGTGTCGCGACAGGGAAAAGCTCTGAGGCTTTCTTATAAATAGCGTGTGCGGATCATTCTCATTTTGTTTGCTTAGGATTAAATAAATCAATAATGGTGGGTATCTTCTCCTTGGTCACGGGGATGCCTGGTCCCAGTGGGTTTGGATCTGCTTCCACTGCAGAGCAGGTCACTGAAGGAATTGACGCCACCAACCTCACTGCCATTGTTACAGGTAACAATTTCTTCTCCACACCTGTTGTCAGACTCAGACTCGGCATTTTGTTATGATTCACCGCACAACCGGTGACCTATAATACGATTAGCTACTAGACTTCCCCCCCCCCCCCTCGTATTACTCTAAAAGCACTAGTTACCCGCAAGACCTTTTTTGGTTTTTCTGGAAATTAAATCCTCAAAACTTGGTTTCTAGACGGGATTAGAACTGATTGATATCCTTTCTTCCAGCAAAACTTTTGGAACCCCCCCCCCCCTCCTGTTTTTGCGTCGCTCGCCTTGAAATTTCACATGATCTGCCTTTATTTCGTGTCTTCCTTTATTTTGCCTTCATCACATCCTACGGCAGACGCCTTGCAGAATCTTTGGCTGAGTTTTAGAAAAGGAAAATAAGAAAACAAAAAACTATCAGAAGGCTTATTAGGGATAAAAGGGATAAAGGAGTACAAATCTAATATTTAAAAGATGGATTAAAAATATATAAAATTTAAGATGACTCCCAAATATATTTAATATAAAAAATTTAATATGATATTAGAGTTAGTTGTTACGAGACAAAAAAGCAAAGTGAGAAAAAATAAAAGAATAAGCGAATGATAAAAAAACAAGAGATTTAAAAAGAAAAAGAGAAGAAGTAGAAACAAGAAATAATTAAATAGAACTGATATGAGGAATTTAGTGTTTAGTCAAATCACTTAAGCTTATCTTCAAAGAATACTATTTATATAAAGAGTTTAACACAATTTACTATTTCTTTACTGTAACTTTTCGTGACATGACGATCTTATTCTTTCCCCGAGCTCAAAATCTAAACAATTTCTGTTCTCCTAAACGCTCCCAAAATTTTTTAAAAAAAAAATGCAGGAGGAGCAAGTGGTATAGGGTTGGAGACAGCAAGAGTCTTGGCTCTTCGAAAGGCCCACGTCATCATTGGTGCGAGGAACATGGAGGCTGCAAAGGAAACCAAGCAGCTTATTCTGCAAGAAAATGAGTCCGCTCGAGTGGACATTCTCAAGCTTGACCTCTGTTCAATCAAATCTATCAGATCATTTGTTGACAATTTTATCGCTCTTGATCTTCCTCTCAACATCTTAATGTCTTTTCTTTGATCCTCTGTCTTAATTTTTTTGAGTTACAAATCTGAACCAACGCATAGAATTGAGATTGGCCTTTCTGTTTCAGAAACAATGCAGGTGTCATGTTCTGTCCCTTCCAACTCTCAGAGGATGGGGTTGAGATGCAGTTTGCAACTAATCATCTTGGTAATGACAGGTTTGATAGGTGTTATAACATAAGTGACCATCTCTTGGCTTGCTAATTCTTATTATTTTCTCAGGTCATTTCCTATTGACGAACCTTCTTCTTGACAAAATGAAGCGAACTGCAAAAGCAACTGGAATTGAGGGCAGGATTGTGAATTTGTCATCAATTGCCCATACCTACACTTACGAAGAGGGTATTCGCTTTGATAAGATCAATGATCAAATTGGGTATTGTTTTATTTACATTAACCCTTAGTTGTGTGGCTTCATTGATGAGTTGGTTATGTTGGCATTTCAATTCAGTAAGAGGTGGACCCAGTCCATTCCAACCATCGCTGCTTAATCGAACGGACTCTCTAAAGACAAGTCAAAATCATTAATTTTTCTGAGCTGTGAACCTATGGTTGAAATGGACTTTTATGCCCTGTTTGATTGGGAAGAAAATATAAAAGAAAAGGAAAGGAAACAGAGAGGAAAGTAGAATTTTTTCCATTTGGGTAGGGAAGGAAAAAATGAGAGAGAAAAAAAAAAAGAGGAAAAATAAAATGTGAAATTCACTGTTTTTTTCTTTCAACTTTTCTTTTTAAAAGTTCTATCGTTTACCCTCTCTTTCTTATTTATTTTACACTCTGACTTTTAGGAGATTATTTAATTACATTAATTTAATTTTAATTAAATAATTTGATTTATAATTTTTAATTTTTATAGTTATGAATCACATTAATTTAACTATTTACTTAAATAATTTAGCCATTGATTAAGTCAAGTGTTCAGAATACATTTATTTAATTTTAATTATTTGAATTTAAAATATAATAAAATAGGCATTTTTAACTAATAATCTAATTATGTTAATTTTAATATAATTTTTTTAATTTATTTTTACAAATATAATTACATGAAATATTTTGATATAAGAGCATTATAATTATTATAATATTTTTTTTTCAGCTAAATAAGAGGTGTGATAATTTTTGTTTTCAGTTTTTTTTTTATTTTTTTCTTTTAACTTTTTTTCCATCCAAGGATTACTGTCTCTCATTAAATATGCTTCGTGTTGAATTCAAATCCAATAATGCAGGACGGTGAAATTTGTCCTTTTTTTTTTTTTGCATAACGTGTAATTTGGTATTTTGCTATGTTAATGTTTCAGTTACTCTGACAAAAAAGCATATGGGCAGTCCAAGCTGGCCAACATACTGCACGCCAATGAGCTTTCTCGTCGCCTGCAGGTGATGCTCCGAAAATTCTTCTGATCAACAGTTGCTATAGAAATAAATTACGGCTAGAAATACATGTAGGACTAGGACCACCCAGTTTCTTCTGTGTAATCACTAGAATGCGGTTCTCTTTCAATTTCTTTTCTTTTTTTTTTTAAATTGCATATAACCCACGTACAGAATTACATTTGATTTTCCAGAAACTTAAAGCAAGGCCCGTTATAAATGCTATAAACAATACGATTTATTTCTCGAGCATTGTACAACACATGGGGCCCAATCTAGTTTAACTTCTGAGTTCAAGTACAAAATTGGATGGGAATATGCTCATGGCAATAACATTCAAATCCTAAAATATTGAATTAACAATATTTAGTTTCTAAATTGGAAAGTTTTATAAATAGTAATTTAAACAATTATAAATTGAGAGTACTTATTTACATTACTCCTAAATTCACAGTTAGTTGAATCAATATTTATAACTTAATTTTTTTAAAAAAATATTAGGGATCTAATTATTATTAATTCATTCTTTTAATATCTGACGTACTGCATACATATAATTTATTTTGGTGATTGTCACAAGGGAAACTGCTTTATAGTTAATAGTATATTTTGATTATCGGTATTGATTTACTCGGGGTTTCTGACAATGTGTCCAGGAGGAGGGTGTGAACATTACGGTCAACTCGGTCCACCCTGGAGTTATAATGACTCCTCTTATGAGACACTCTTCCTTCCTTATGAGTATGATATGTCTCCCAAGTACCTTCTTCCACTGGTTATTACTTGCTTTCTTCTGACGCAATTTCATTGAAGCAGATTTTCTGAAGATATTCACCTTCTACATATGGAAGAACGTCCCGCAGGTAGGGAACCCATTGCTCTTGAAAATTCAAATGAAGGCATTGATGAACAAAGAACTTGAGAATTGGGATTGTAACAAAAATGTCTGTCACTTTTTGATCGAATCTTGCAGGGAGCAGCCACTACATGTTACGTTGCTCTGCACCCAAGCGTGAAAGGTGTGAGCGGGAAGTACTTTCTGGATTGCAATGAGTTTCAACCAAGTGTTCTGGCCACAGACGAACTGTTAGGGAGGAAACTATGGGATTTTAGCAACAAGTTGATAGAGTCTATTTCCAAAGATTGAGTCCCGTTGTTCTTCGTCACACAAAGCCTCTTGCCTCAAAAGTTTATTCAGACTTGTCATGCATAAGATAGCAGTTTATACTTACATTCATGATTTCTGGCGCTCCGGGTTTTTTTACAGACACTTGTATGCATATTTGTCTTTTGACTTTGCAAGTAATATGAACCACGAATTCAGTCCTACAAGTGGTCCTCCCCAATCCCTTCAGCAGAAGAGAGGGAGAGATAGCAACTTCTGCGAGGCGGGTGACAGCTAGTGTTCTGAATGACATTCTTCACGTATTAGAATGAAATTGGTAGATTACTTTATTTATTCAAGACATTCTAATGTTTCTATTATATTCTTATTGATTAAATAGCATATTATCACGTTTTGTTTAAGTGAAAAAACTATTAAAATTAATTATAAGAATAAAAATAGAAAAATAATTTGATAGTATAAACGGACAATTTATAATTCAGACCAGTTTTTATTTTTAGAAGTTACTTATAGAAGGGACCGTTATGTATCATTAATTCAACTCTAGCTTACTGAGGTAAAGGTGATGGGAGCAATCAATATAATCGTAGAACAGGATCTTCGTCTCATGTATTTAACTAAACATCGCCCAATAGGGAAAAATGTAAATTTCTGCCATTGGGTGTTTTATTAAAGGACTTGGTAATCGATATCAGTAAACCGTGTGCCTTAAATCTATCTAATCTAATTCTGAACGAGTAATCTGATACATATTACAGCTGGGAAAGGGACAATCAGATCAATCTAGTATTTTATTGCACTAACGGGGGCAAACGATGTAATTATAACGAAGAATATGTACAGCACCTTAATCTGATATACCTAAAAAGTAATTCAGAAGGAAGAGTCAAGTGATACAGAAGTCAAGGGGTTGGATCATGCTGCCACAGCCCCAGGGCCCGAACAAGACAAGCAGAAGCAGCGACAATGACGGCGGCAAACACGGGCGGGACAAGGAAATCAATCTTGGACTTAGTAAAGAGGTGAGGAGGAAAACAGAGGATGTCTCCCGGAACATCCAAGGGCACTCTAATGGAGGACTCAATCTTGCACTTGCTGGAGAAGGAGGAAGAGGGGGAAATGGCCAAAACGAAAGCAGCCTCCGGCGAGAATGAGGCGACGGCCACCGTGAAAGTGAGAAGCATGGTCCAAGTGGTGGCAAAGATGACGAGAGGCCACTGGGCTGTGAGACGGAAACGGAGGAGGGGGGAGAGCCAGAGAGCCATTGTGGTATAACAGACAAAACAAAGAAGGATTGGGGTTATGTCTTATAAAGAGAGTGACTGGTGGGGATGTTGAATTATTGGTGGAGGGAGATAGACATGCGTAAGGATGCAGTGTTGGAAACAATGATGGTTGAGTTGACCAAACTATGGGGTTTGCAGAATGAGGCATATGCTTTGTGGGTGCGTTTTTGTTAAAGACGGGACACCCACTCCTCCGCATTACATTCTTCCACTCGTGGTAGTCGGCAGGTACAGCAACCTCTCTGTCTCCCTCTTGTCTATTTATAATTATATTTATGTATTTCAGGTAAAATCACACATATTATTCAAACTTATTAAATATACTTTATAATTTTATATTTTTAACAAAAATTTAAATTTTAAAAAAATTTTATTTAATATTTCATTCATAAAAAAAATATTAAAGAGAGATAGTATAACAACAAATATGGTATTAGAAAAGTATAATTAATTAAATTTTATTTTTATCAAAGTATTTTATATATTAAAATATTAAATCTTTCTCAAAAGTATTTTATAAATTGAGATGGAGGTAGTATTTAAAAAAAATACAAATAAGGGCATTTGAATATCATAAATGACCAATTTGGATCACGAAATTATGACATTTAGTTTTTAAAGAATGACAAAGAGGTCTCAAAAGGATCAATTAATTTAAGTTATATCTCAAGTGTTAAATTTTATGAATTTGTAACTTAATTTTTTAATATTGTAATTCCGTTGTGATGAATTTATAACTTGTATTTTAAATTTTAACAAAAAAATAATTTTTTTATTTTTCAACCATATTAAAATTTAAAAAAATAAATTGTAAATTCTTCACAATGCAGTTTCGAAATTAAAAGATTCAGTTATAAATTTTAAAGTTTGACATTTAAAATCTAACTTAAATTAATTAATTCTTTTAGGACCACTTTGTCATTCTCTCTTTAGTTTTAAAACCATGGTCTTTTTTTTTTTTTGTAATTTTAAAGATAATAATTTAACTAAAGCGTTCCTCATGACCAAGTTTGCAAGTCTGGGTGTAAAATTTTTACAACTCAAGTAAATTAATTTTTTAATCCCCTTGAACTAAATTTTCAACCTAATTAAAATAATTTCAGCAATAACAAATTTTATATTGACTAATTGCAAGCATAGAGTAAAAAAATTTTCAATTCAAATAAAATGATTTCATACATTTTCAATAAAATTTTTAATTTAATTAAAGTGATTTTTCTGGTAACTTTTTTTAAATTAAAGTGATTTTAGCACTAATAAATTTTAAATTAACATTTCAGCTGGAAACACTTTAGCCAAAGCATTACTTTTAAAACTAGAAAAAAAAAATCCATGCTCCTAAAATGTAACTTCATAATTTCATAATCCTAAGTAGTCATTTGTAATATTTGCAAGTCTTGTAATTTTCCCAAAATAAAAAGTTAAAAATTAACATCTTAAGTTTTTTCTCATCCTCAATCCTTCATGAAAGTCACCTTTAGGATTTTCTTTTCAAAAAACATTAAGCTCATTTAACTCTATATAAAAAGTAAAAAAATTCAAAATTTGTCCTTGTTAAATACCATCTTTTGAAAAGTCAACAAACTAAGTTTGAAAAACATAAAACAATGTTTAATAAGGACACCGTGAAAATAATATAATAAGCACAATTCCATACAATGCTTCGTAAAAAAAGACTAAAAGTCTCTCCTCGAGGTATCTTAGACACCGGAGGAGAATCAATCCATCTAATAAAACCTAAAGCATGCTGTTAATGCGGCTCATTTCTCGTTCTTAATGCAACGTAAAAAAAAGGTGTAATTCTATAGCGAATATAGTTGTCACGTTATGTAGCTTTTCAGCAACAAGGAATGTCACCCGAAGGGAAAATCCACTTGAGATTGTGATACATTTTTCAGGCACGCAGATACAAGAATATGCAAGGATCAATTATGGTAGGAATTGTTGCAAACATTTTATTCACTGTGTGGGAGAAGATATCTTCGCAACTTTGAGAGTCAGCAATAGAAAACAGCCAAATGAGAAGAATAGTAAAGCAAGCATAATCACAAGCATCGCCAGGAAGGAGACGTAAGGGCTCAAAAAGAACATCACAGCAATAGTAGCACTTTGCCATATCTTTAGCTGCGCAAATGCTCCTTCCTGCTCAGCGGGAAAATTAGATTGCAGGCCGTTTATTTAGTTACAAGTGAGAAAAATAATATAATGGCAGAATAGTTCTAAAAATGTTTACCGTGTCATGCTCAAATAGCATTCCAAGCAATGCACTGAGCTGCGTATTAAACACTCCATCACCAATGCCCAACAAAGCAGCCAAGAAAAGTGGATACAGAGTACTGAGAAACCCGCTACTTATGCTGCGTTATCGGTGTTGAGTGAAATTGATGAGATAAAATCATATACACACGTCAACGATACATAAACAAGCACACAAATATATATACATGTCAAACTTCAGAACAGAGGAGTGTTTACTGCTGACCTCAAATTTAGCAGAAGCAGGACAACCGCACCTGCCTGAACAAAAGCTCCAACGGAAACTATTGATGTAATAGATGTAAGACCAGAGGTAAGTCGACCAGCAGCCAGAGAACACTGAACACATTTAAGAAATAAATGTAAAAGAAATCAAATCAATCCACAATGACATATTTACATGGCAGGGACCCCAATAAATTCAAAGGGACAGACTCCGTTTCACAACTCCCTACCCATAAAACCCTGCTCCAAGTATGTAAGATATAAAGATGCTCACTGTTAGCATGATCATGATGCGCACAAATAGAGCAATAAACATCAAGTTGCCTTATTAAACAACCAACCACCAAAGGCACGGTATTACAGTTCAACATTCCCATACTTACTATTCCATCAAAAGCCCCGTATACTGCCATTGCACTACCCACACCAGAAATGCCAAGCGTTGGAGTTACAACATACTTGGTGAATTCAGCCCTATGATAAGACCACATTTCATTTATAAACAAGAGATAATGGAAGCGGAATGAAGCCAAAAGTGGAAAATCAATAGAACTTACCACACAAACGCTTGTTGTAGTCCTGAATATGCAATGAGGGGAATGATCAACAACATTCTTACATCAGAAAACGAATTGGCAAGTGATTTAAATAGAGACTTTAAGGATGAATAGACATCAACATCAGCATCTGATAGTTTCCCTTCCTCCTTATTATTACCAGTCCTTCTACTCAATAAGCACATAAGTACTACACCTATGGCCATAATGCAAAGGAACACAACGAATAATAAAGTTGTGCCTTTGGTACTTCCTTCCTGCAGTGATGAAAAACAAAATTAAATCCCAAGATTGTACAAATTTTTACATCCAAGCCTGTTAGATTTTGAGAAAAGCAGTTATTATTAACCAGTGAAAGGAAAAACCCAACTCACATGTACGTTTCCTTGATAGATTTCTCATATTATACAGATTAACATGTTTCCAAGGAGTATAAATTCAATCTTCAAAGATAAAATAAACATGATAATTGGAAGAAAAAAAAATCGGAAGTAGACTTATGCTACAACAAAGGTTTGACACCATAAGCCCGAATGCCCAACCATTAAAAGTACACAATTTCAAGAATTAAAGCATAGATTATCAGATAAAAAGGTATCCATCGCAAAATTCAGACCAAGTATTCTGCCTATCATGTAGTTAGTTTCTATGCACACCAGTCAAAAGCAGCAATTCTTCATCTTCAAAGCTATGTTTGGTTAGGTATGGAAATAGAAAGGGAACAAAGATACCAATGGCAAATTACACTTCTTTCCCAAAAAAAGCAGAAATACAAGGACAAGTTCTATTAACTAATAATAATAAGAACATAAAAGACATTGCATAAAGAAGAGATCTCATTTTCATGCTTTCCTTTATCCTTTTCCATCCAAAACTCGAACTTAACATGCCCTAATAGTTGAGAAGGAAGGAGTAGTTTTGGAAAACCAACGGATCACGAGCTGATCATAATAAAGACAAACAAAAGGAACACTAGAAAATTTGCAACCGAAGCTCCAAGAAACCACATACCTGTCCATCTCTTAGTAAAGTAAATGTAAGGAGATTCCCAACAAACTGGAAAAAATAAATAAATAAAATTATACCAAGTTGAAATTCATCAACAAGATATTTTTTTTTTATTTTTCTCAGAAACATATCAAGCTTTAGTAGTAGAATTAATGATCACCTGGTGGAGGGCAAACATTGCCCAGAATTCCCCATTGAAGTCACCAATCACTGCTCCCTCATGCAAGTTGTAAGCTTTGGCATGACTACGTGCAGCTAAAGTGAGATATGTTCCCTGTCAAGTCATATTAAAACTAGTAAAGATATTTAAAACTCCATGAAGAGTTCAAGGTGCTTTTGATTCTCGACAGGTTAATGTTACTTGTACCTCTCCAACCCATATAATTGAAGCACTAAATCCAAGATACAAAGAGGCTGGAATCATTGTATACCTGAAACAAGAATGTATCAGCGGTAAAGAATTCATAGAATTAGTTAATATCTTTTCAGTATACAGTCATAAAGTACAATAAAAGTGATGCTCGGATATAAAAGAGCCAATATCAACTGCTATAAACAACCACAAATAATGCAATGCAAAGCAATCAAATTCCAAAAATCTCGAAAATAACTAATAGAAGAGGCATCAATGTGTGAAATGTTGAGAATTTTCATGGGCATAATCAGTTCAAATAGCCAGCGAATTTTCCTTTCATCCAACCAGACAGTACTCAAAATGTTAATGTTAATCCTTAATTGTTAATCTGGAGGCATATTAAAACGTAAACTAGCAAATCTACTTACCACAAATAACTATTAATTTCAACTAACTGTATGAGGAGCCCTAAAAACTTGGACTTTCCCGTTGTTTATCCCAAACTTCGCCTTGCCCAGTTGCCCCCCCCCCCCCTTCCCGCACTCTAATTTACATATGTTTACTCGTAATTGTAATTGCACTTGTTAAGAGAAATGATAGACGAATTATAATATAAGAAAGGAATGGCCAGTAATTACCAATTTGGCTTCAAGTTCGCAGCTACGAACAAAACATAACCGGTTGTCCCAATAACCAAAGCGTTCTTTGACCCGAGTATCCGAACCACCAAAGAAGCAATCAGACTGAACAAGGTGAAAGACGTATATAATATCGCAAGCGAAGTTGTACCCAAGTCCTGCTCCTGTAATGGAAAATTCAAAACCCCAAAAAGGGTCACAGGTGTTCGGATCACATTTGCAAACACCATATTTCAATTCAACCAGGACAGGAAAATCGAAGTGTAAATCACGGAAGAAAAATTCGGCCGAGGCTCACAGTGTTCAGAGTACTCTGTAGATTCTGAGCAGCCCCATAGGCGAGAAAGATCAACAGAAAAGCCACGCTCAAGATATGAATATCCCTCGTATGGTTCTGGGAGTTTGTATAGGCGAATTACCAGCATCAGCAACCAGGGGCACCTCTTCGTCGCGGGGAATCACAGATGCCATGGCTCCCAAATCTCGGTCCAAATGATCGCCCATTAGCTATTAAAACCTAGAGATAATTTGGAGGGGCGTATTGCCGGCGAGAACCTTGCACGGTAGAGGACGCAGAGAAAAGTCAAAATAGCTGACCAATCCAGTTAATGACAATGAGATTATGAAACTCCATCCATGGCCGCCGGAGAGAAAGCAGACAAAATTGATATTATCTCGGAGATTCGGAATCTCCAGCTCTTCGGGCGCGCTCCTTCGGTTTTTAGGTAGGATTGAGCAGATTGAAAAGGAAAAAAAGTAAATATTTTGGTAAATAACTAAAAATTAACGGAATAAAATAAAAAAATGAAAATTGTGACTCACACAAAGAGAGACGGTACTTGTCATTCAAAATAACCGAGGAACCAATACAGCCCTTTCTCCATCACGACGCAGCTTGAGGGAATGACTGGGATGGGACACATCGTCGTGGTGGATAAGATGCTGTCAAACTTGGGTGCTCCGTCGAAACCGGTGACGGAGGGGAGAACAAAATTCCTACCTCCATTGACGGCGAGCTATGCAGCTTTCTAATGCCACGATGATGCTAGCTAGCAATAGAGGGAAAGAACAAGCTCTGACCTCTGCCAACGACGAGCTACGACGATGTTGGCGACAGAGGAGAAGAACAAACCAGACCATCACCAATGATTTTGTGCGGGGCTTTGGTTGGTTGGGCTGCAATCCTGCAAATTGTTCGTCGTCGTACAGTATCATAAGAAGATCTTGTCCTCGTGGCGTTGCTGCATGGGAGCTTCATGAATGGCCTAATTCAACACGGAATTGGATCATTGGCATCGTTCATTGTTGTTATCTGTGGATGACTAGTAAGTATCTCCGAGCCAGTTGTGAAATTAACTTGCTATAGAAGTAATTTCATAATTTATAAGTATTATATTGCTGAAAATATCCCAACAGATATTACATTAATTAGTAGTATGCCGTAAAATATTGAGTAATTAATCATAAATAGTGTGATTTGCTAGAACCTTGCATGGCAGTGAACGCAAAGAGAAGTGTAGTCAATGACGTGGAAGTGGACAGAAATATTGAAGATACATATGTCGGAGATTCGATCCGTATCTTCTTCAGCAATCAAAATCGTTGGTTCTTGGCTCATGTCACTTGTTGTCCTCAAATGATAATGCATCCACTCACGTCACCGCTTCCCCAATGCAGATATCACAATGCAAAAAGACGAACCACTACTTGATCCTTTCATAGTAAACTCACTGAACTCCTTTTTATTAGATGCGGTGGGAATCTGTGGTGTGAAAATGTTTTTAATTAATTTGAGTTCGTAAGATGAGTGAAAACGTTTTTTGGGTTGTGCACATTGAGAAGCTTTTCACCAAAAGCTTCACGTAAACTCGGTGCATTGGGTGCCTGCGCCGCCACCGACAAACCCAACCCACTCTACGCACGTACGTATATATATTGAATAGAAACCGATGACACATCGATAAATTATAGATAACCAAAATTGCAAACACAGATTGGGGAAAAAACTACTCTAATCTTCCTCCATCAACCCCACATCTTGAGGAAAAAGTGGACGTACGTGGATAAAAATGCAAAAAGCTCTATCTAAGATGTGATAATGTCTGGAGCTCATATATTAGAATATTTGTTAGTTTCTCTATACATAGAGTGCAAACAAAGGGTTCAGTTCTTCTGGAAGGAGGATCTAGTTTTATCAATGATGTCATGAAGCAGAAGAATACTCTAGATATGTTGGGGGGGGGGATTTCGGTCAGCTTGATTCAACTTAATTTCAGTCAAATTTTAGGCACTTTAAAATTTCACTACACATATGAAAGATTAAAATAAAATTAAAGAGATGATTTAAATAATTTTATTGTAATATTGTTCTTGGTGAAACTAAAAACAAGAATAATTGATGTAGGGAAAATGAACGATTGACATTTGAAAATTGAGCAACTGATATATAAAAAATGAATAAGTGATATGAGTAAAATTTATAATTACCATTCCGTCTATGTTAAATGTTTTATTTTTCATACATTAATTATTTATTTTTTTTACATAAATTGTTTATACACGTAACTTTATTTATTTATATTTATAGTAATGTCATACTGTTAATAAGAGTTAAAAATTTTACCTATATTAGTTGTTCATTTTTTATACATTATTTTCTTATTTTTTATATATCAATTATTCATTTGAATCAGCTTTTTTATTTCATTTTAATCCTTCACATGCACATTAAGATTTCAAAATTTTAAGAGAGTTGATTGGAATTAAGTTGGATTAAGGAAATTGATTATATATAGAGCTTCCACTAGATATCAAATTTATAGCTTCAGTACTGTCCAAATTAAATTAGCTTGGACGACAGCAATGTCAAGCTTGGAAAGAAAGAAAGAAAATACTCATCAGGAATCAGCCAAATTTGGCTCTCGAACTGGTGGCATTCGGGTAGCCCACTCTATATCTCATATGTGATATAACAATATAACATATTCACCCAGGCAGGGGTCTTTTATGTGTAAGCTTCATGAAATGTGTAGACTGCCATTGTCATATAAATTATAAAGCGAGTCTTTTTGGGTGTCTACTTTCGTTATCTGGTGCAGACTTCAGAATGAAACCTAAAATATGAAAATGAGTTGGCGTTATTTATCATATATAGGTATTACATGATATATTGAAATTCCCATAACCGACTAATTAAAATAGGAAATACGGGCAGCATAGTAGGAGTCAGCACATTTTTTTATAAAAACTTTTTCGCGTTCACTTACGAATACGATCGAAATATTTTTGATATATTTATTTAATAGAATTATGTATTTAAAAATTTAAAATCGAGATTTTGAAATAAATCAATTCACCTCCAATGACCAATCAAACCAAGAATCTCTCTATCCATTTATCTTATATTTGATTAGGAGCAGGCCTTCGTCTTCAATGATCCATTCTAAAATAATATATGGAATTTTTGAGTTCAAAGTCAATTTGTTTTTCCTTTTTAATATTAAATATATATTTTTAAGAATAACATTAATTTATGGTATAAGTTTGTAATGTAATTTTTTATGTATGTTTGATGTTCTTTAATACGTGTATTTTTTATATAACTATGTTTCCTTTAATTTTTTACATAAGGTGGGCGGATAATAAATTTAAAATACCCACATTTTTCAAGATATTAGGTGAAAAATAAAAAAAAAATCATCTTTAGTACTAAAAAAAAGTTTTATTTTATTATACATAATTTAATACTTCATTGCAATTCTCCTCTTTTCAGGCCACAAAACAAAAAGGTCACTTGGCAAATTATTGCAGACAACTTTTGCTAACAATTTTCCTTCATTTTTTCCGCTCCAAATTTCATTATCTATCTCAAAATATAAAAGATACTTTTCAAAAAAAGATATTGATATTTTAAATATAAGACATTTTAAAAAAATAAAATTTTATTAATAATATTTTTTTAATATTATACTTTTCATATATTTTTTTAAAATACAATATTAAATGAATGACATTTTTAAAATTTTATATTTTTATTTTAAAAAAGTAATAATATAAAATATATTTAATAAACTTTATTATTAAGTATAATTTTATTTAAAAATATTTTATAATTTGAGATGAAGGAAATGATATCTCAATCTCTATTTCTTTTCCCTGACCATTGATCATTCTAATATTCTGAAGTGTGGCATCTCATTCTAATATAGTTATATTCCACACGCTATCTTCCATTGCCATGATCATGTGGCACAATTTTCATCACTTAAGTCATCAATAATCACAAGTTTAAATCACATAAGTACCGCTTTTAACCTTGGGGCATGTTCCATCACAGCAGCAGAGCTAGGAGAAATAAAAAACAAAAAAACAAAATGGGTCGAGACGTGCGAACGAGGTTATGTCCTCACTCCTCAATGTGCTGTATGAAATATAAGAGTTATAATTAGTCACACACAGTGTATATAACATTGTGGGTTATAAACAATAAAACATTCTTCTAAAATTTCATAGGGACTCACCTGGCTTGTTACGATAAACCTAGATTCGCTAACAGCACCAAGGTTCACGTCTCAGGATGTGAGCAACAATGCATTATCATCGTCCGGCAAATCTTCACTCTATTCGTTGTTGTTTTTGTTTTTTTGGATCAATCAATTAGGATGCAAGGCGACTTTCAACAACAAAAGCTGGATCAAATTACAAACTGTCTAAATAAAATATTAATTAATATTTTATTTTTATCCCTATATCTTTCATAGTTTTTTTATAGTCTGAGCAGACATGACATGACAAGCTTTCCTTTCAATTAATGGGGATATATTAGAATATTTTTGAACAAATAAAACGATCTCAACTTTTCTCCATCTACTTGGAAAATATCTGAAACACTTTATGTAAGGGGTCAGAAAGCAAATGATATCAGACACGCTTTCTCCATCCCATTTATAAGATTTTTTTTTTTATTGAAATGATTTGATGTTTTATAATATAAAATATTTTGGGAGAAAAAATGATTCATTAATGAACTTTTTTTAAAATTACCCCTTGCTATTTCATTTTTTTAAATACACTTCTTTTTTGTCCTTGTTAAATAAAATGTACTTTTGATAGTTTATTTTTTTTGGACAAATTAAAACCCCAAACTATATTTAATTAATTTTTTTAATATATGTTTGCAATTTTATTTTAAAATGTATTATAAAATGGAAGGGAGGGAGATTATGAGCGGCACCTGGGTGTTGAGTTAGCCATGAATATGATGATTGTCCTGACATAATCTTTTACATCAAAGCACCCAACGGGGGTTTGGTAGGTGCGTTTCTTTTGACAAACAACAGGTTACACTCCCTGTTTTGTATGGGCAAGATTTTCAGTATATTAATAATGAACACCCTTTTGACTGAACCAAAAAAATCTCAAATACTGTACTTTTTGGGTACGACACATTCCCAAATATAGGATACAGACGGACAGAATTTTCATTTGCATCCATTCTAGTACGTTTCGTTAAGAAATTTGCAGGCAGCATGCTCGACCAAAACGATCTTTAGCCAAGACTTGCGATGCTCGTGTTCCCCGCATATCTTAGCTAGCCTCTCAATTTTACCACGCCTACTACCAAGGCCAAAGGAAAATGCTTCATAAAATGTGCACCTTGCAAACTGAGTGGAGACGCACGAAGATAAACTTTGAAAGTATCGATTTTCTTTTATTTGCTTACCCCCTAAAGAGGAGCGGGGACATTAAACGGCTTCATGCATAACACTTTAGGCAAATACTGTTCGAATGCATATAGCTTAATAGAAACGCCAGCCAAACCAACTTTGGTTAAAATATTTCAGTTCACTGACAAATATACCACCAATACAAGTTTTCCCCGGGTGTAACATGCTCGCCAATACAATATGATATTGGTTAAAGCTAACCAATGAAGTTGCATGACTCCGTTCGCCAGGCATGTCAAGGTTACGAAAATAAAACTATATTAACAAATCGAAAGTAATCAAAGCATGCCACAATATGGCTGGTCTCAATATTCAAAAGACACAAGAAACTAGTTTTTTGTCTAATCACACAACACTTGCACAATCAAAGAACATGAACACCACTCAAACCCCACATGGGCTCGGTATTTCACAGATCATATTTATACTGGCAAGCATAAAAGCTAGTTTAAGGTAAATGGTAAATGACAACGCCAAGCCAAAAATTTTGATACCATGATGAGCCAAGTTTAGCATCTGACTCTGACAACCTATAAGCACTCCAATTTAAATAACTAAAGCTTCAGGGATGTGGTGCCCATCCCAGTGTCTATTATGCATATTAGTTGGCACGACTTTTGAAGACATCAAGACCCATCTCAGTTGGATCTGTTGCTTGCAACTCTACTTGAATTCCATCCAGCTCTCTCTTGAATCTGTCCTTTGAGCTGGCGTAAATCATCTTGCTTCTGACTCTTGATGTATCCGGGGACCTTCACAGAAAAAACAACCAGATGTAGTTAAATAATCGTTCAAGACATGATCATTGTGTTCGGAACATTTTTCAAGTTCCAAATCATGGAGAGATAAAGTTTGAATCTCAAACTAGAGATGTCTCAGATTTTGGGTGTGCATATCATTTGTCATAATAATTCTCATCCTAATCTTACACAGATTGAGTTAAAAAGAAGATACATAGAGCATTGAATGAATAAAATTTATTTAAATAATAGATATCCTAATCCTAAATCAAAATCAAATGAGTCTAAGCGAAGGGGTGGGGTTTCCTATAAATGATTCTAAGTGGTTTTGGTATCCGACTAATCCAATAATGGAATTACCAAGAGGAAGTAATCAAGACATTGGTTAGTTGTAATCAAGTGGGTTGAACATCACAACCAAGCATAAAACCATGTACAGCATGGCTCACAGGTATCTTCCAGATCTTGGGATAGTTGTGATCTGAAGATTTTTAATTTGTTACTTCGAAATTGAAGGTAGGGAATGTTTTGCAATTGTTCGTTCAAAATTGCATGTAGCAGGGTTTTATAACTGTTTGTCTCCTTTCTTTTTATTGCGCAAAACTTTGGAGGTCGAGATCTAAACGCATTGCATGCCAAAGTACTGGACTCACCATGCGATAAAGAAAATTCTGCTTTTGGGAACATTCCCTTCTGTCAGAAACTCAAAATCATAAACAGCGTATCGACACTCATCAGCAGGAAGACTGGCAGTGAAATCATCATAGCCTTGGGTTGGCTCTCCAACCTTCTCCACAATAACTTGCTTTTGTTTTTCCTCAATCTTGAAAACTATGAAGCGATATGTCCTTTTTGCCTTGAGCTCCAAAAATTTCAGCTTGCACTCGTCATTGACAGCCATACCTGATGCTGCGTTAGCCTGTCATATTACAAAACAGTCCATAAATCAAATAGTTTACAAACTATTCTGAATGACTATGGATCTGCTATACATGACTCAACAAGAAAGCTTGAGAGACCCTAAATGAAAGAAAAACCAACAAACATATACATATGAATATCTATACACATGAGTATCAATCTTTTAACTACTTGGCGGAAGATCAATGTATATAATAGTACTCTCACTATTTTAGATAGCAGAGAGGTAACCATTTGAAATAATTAGGTTATATTTCAGCGGTAGCCGGTAGAAGTGTATATGATGAATACCGGTACAGTGGATAATCAGCATACCTCGGCTTGTCAACAGAAAATACACCGGGGATTTTTTATCTATCTTAAAAGAAGTCTTCGCAATCACCTATCAGTATATAAATAACCTTCAACTTACCACAACAAAGATTAGATCCAAAATATTTTCGTCCACCCAAATGGGGCAAAATTAAGATCACTTCAGAAGATCAGACCCAAGTAAGCACTAATTTATAAAACGATTATGAAAATCGAAACGACAGAAAAATCAGATCTAAAAGCAAATGATACAAGTAAAAGGAGCCCATCGGGTAAAGATGCCAGTAGATTTCTTCGATTGTACGAGTTCAAAATAACAGATCGACCACGAAACAACCACGAAATTCAAAAAATTCAGAAATCAATCAATAATCAGCACAAGAGAACGGAAGATAAAGGTGAGAAAACAGTGATCACTATCCAATTTCAATAGATTTTATGCCCAGCTGCCAATCTCACATCGCGTGTGATTCCGATATTCGAGTGTATAACCTCCGTCCATTCCAGACATCTCAGCAAAATAGGAGCAAACAGTAAAAACGAAATCAAAACCTAAGGAAGACAATAAAGAGAAGAAAGACTGACCATCTTTGCGCTTTAACAGGACAGCGATACAGAACAGCTATCGACAAAGGAGGAGGTAAGGAGAAAATATAGGAGGCCCCTGCACAACAACATTTTGTTGTGGCCCTTTTAGTCTTATATTCTTGCTGTGCAAAGATCGGGAAATATAAAAATCTTTTCTGATTTTCACCAAAACAAAAAAATCCTGATAGGCACCTCTTTTTACCTTTTTGGCCCTTCCCCTTCCCTATCACATATTTCGATCAATCACAGTAACTTAAAATCATACAATGATTTCAGTTTTTTTAATATGTTAAAAAGTATCATTAATCAAATTATTGTTCCAGTAGTACATAGGAGTGTTTTGTAATATTCTGTACTCTTATTGATTTTAGTTGCTATTGATAGTCTCAGTTTATACTTAAAAAAAAAGATGTTGTACCGTGTCTTGTATTTTTCTCCTTCATGATCTCTATTTCTTTCTTCTTGTCTTTTTTTTTTAAATGAAATGAGTAATTGAAAACGAAATATGGGGCAAAAACTTGCGTGCTCAATTTTGTACAGTTAAATTTATTTTTTGACATATATATATATATATATACACATTCATGAGTCATGACTTACTCATAAATTTTTTGTCTAATATTTTAGTTCTTTAAAAAAAATACAAAATTCACTTATTTTAATTTGATTTAAAACAATATTTAGACGTATCGTCTAAATATCACATTTCATTCAAAAATAAAAGTACCTAAATCCTTTCCTTCGACCTATAACTCGTAAAGCATCAAGCATGCAAAGAAAATTTTCATTTTCCTTTCATATTTCACTCTCAGATATAATTGAAAAAAAAAATTGACTTAAGGATTTAATGTAACAGAAACAATAAGAAATAGTTACAAAAAATTGTCAAATAATCAAAGTTAGTGTGCCTGTTTTTCAAAGTTAAGATTCATTTGTTTAGCGTGATGATCTAACTTTTTATGTTATAATAATTTGAATGGTAGAATTAATAACTCCAGAAAACATATGCTCTTTTTTGGCCATCGGCAGAAAACAAGTGTTAACATCTAAAACGAATGAATAAAACAGTTAATAATCACTGGTATTCTTTATCTTAATTTTTATAATATTTTTTAGTATCAATTGTTAAATTTTGAAAAATAATTTGGGCGTGAGATGAGAAATATATGTTTTTGTTTGTTGAACTTGAATTGATAATTTGACTAAACGGTAATCGGAAAGTAAGTAAAAAAATATATATGCAGAAAATGTTTACAAAAATAATAACATATCTAAAAAAAAGAACCAAAATCGCATTTTAATGGAGTGTAAGGTAATAGTCTCAGCAAGATTTGATTTTTTTTCCCCCTCCAACAAACAAAGACTCATTCCATTAACAAAGAAAACAAAGTACATATATTTGAATAATTTTTACACAACCATAAAAACATTACATTGTCCTAAAAATTAGCTCTAGAAAGAAAAGGTAAAAAAAAATTACTATCATATCAATGGAAGGAGAAAGCCCTGAAACAAAACAATCGTCTTAAAAAAAAAAAAAAACACACACACACACACACACACACACACGCGTCAACTAATAAAATCATTCAAGGGGAAAGTCAGCATCACATTTATTCTTGGCGTCCACATAATGAACTAGTTCCCGGATTATTCTCGCCATTCTTACGTTGAACCCTACATAATTAATTACACCACGTCTACTCCTGATGTAGGCATATATATGCTTCTCCTACCAAGAATTAAAAACTCATCATGTTGGAAGGGATAATAATCCTTTAATATAATTAAACACAAGCAGCATGTATGACATGGGATGGATAGGAGTAACACTGGCTTTTTGAGCTGATATGCTACCAATACACATATACATGCATGTAAATATTTGTCCATGTACCATTCGCCTTGTTGTTACAGTAGTACATCTCAGCCTGATGCAGATTGACTTGTGTACTTGATTATTGGAAAAATAAAATAAAATCGGAGCTCAGTCGGTCGGTCCAGCGGAGTCCAAGTTTGAAATTTATGATATATGGGTAAGTAATTTTTGAAATACGATGCTCAGAAAGCTACAAGCCGTGCGCTTGTAAAACAAGATTTCTCTACCAGCTTTTGAATGACGGTGAGTTTTCTTTAGAGGCATTTCAAGATACCTATACAGTGGGGTCCTTAGCAGCGTCTCTAATCCTCAAAAAATCAAAATATCACACACTACCCTATCCATTAACATGCCTTGGTGTATTCTAGTATTATTGCAAAAATGAATGCAGGGCTTATCAATCCTGCGCCAATGTTCTATGGTTATAGACAATATAATATCTACAATTTCAATTTTCATGTTGAAAAATAAGTTATATTGAGGTTTGAAACGTGCGTCGTATTTTTTTTTTTAATCCCATTGCAAGCTTTGAAGGTGTTAAAAATTGCACTACATGCTCAATATATTTTGTTATTGCATAGCAGGCCCAAACACTTTTGTTGCAATTTCTTAAGAGTGAAAGTACAATTTTACCTTTATGTATCCATGAATGCACAACATAATGTTTATGCTGTCTAATTGATTAATAGGTCTAATAAAATGTATAAGTAACTCACACAATATACAAGACAATGTTCATATATTTTCGAGACAATATTCATGTGTGGACACACAAGGATACTGTATTGAGAATTTATAAACATTGTGTTGTGCATTTATGAATATTGTGTTATACATGTAAGTAAATATAATTAACATTGTATTGTATATTCATGGGCATTGTGTTGTATATTTATGGACAATGTGTTGTACATTCATGGATAATGTGTTGTGTATAATCTAAGTTTTCAAATCATATAAAGGTAAAATTGTACTTTTGTTTCAAGAAAATTTGAACGAAGCTCTTGAGCCTGCAATACAAAATCAGAATTTATTGAGTCTAAAGTAATATTTTTTGCTATTTTAAGACCTATGGTGTGATTCTCCCTTCTTCTTTTCCACTTGGTGACTTACTAAATTTTTTTCAATATGTAGTATAATATAATACAATGCAATATAAATAATATCATGTTAAAAAATTATTACCAACATCAATGCACCAGTGTAATGTATAATCTATATCAAGGTAGTGGTTTGAAGTCATGACTTATCTTTTACATTGTGTGTATTACGAAATGTATCTTTGTAATATCCTTGCATATGCTTTGTATATATACACGTATGTGCGATAAATTATTATGTCACGAGCATACCCTTAGAAATTGTTTAATTTGGTTGGGCCCCTCCTTTGTTTGGCTTGAGAAAGTGGAACCCTCCCCTCCCTCCATTGTACACCCTAACCAATATGCCCATAGTGAATCAGATTATTTTGTCAATCAATCACAAAGATTAGTAAATGGTGGTTATTGGGTTCTCTCACTCCACACAAGTTCCTCACTAACAACCACCCACAGCATCCATCAAACCAAACAATATAGTAATGGAAGAAAAAAAGGTTATAATATTGGTAGCTGTTATGAGGATTGAAATCGTCTATTGCAGTTGGAGCTTTGCATAATCGAACTTCTTCCATGAATGCTTTGCAAGGATCGCTCCCAGATTAATCATTTTTAAAGGTTAAATAATCCTAATTATATATTAAAAACATTGATAATTGTATTCTATTTTGAAAAAAATCAACGTTAATAAAATAAACATAAAATTATTTGTATGTAATTACTTTTTCTCATCGAACTAAACAAAAGTTAAACCTCTCCCCTCCCCTCCATTGAACCAAATAGCCACTAATTGTTTTGGAGATTCTGTATAATATAAAAAAAAATTATCCAATCAAATTATTTATTTCATTTTTTAATTCTTAATTCAATATTTTCAGCTTTCTCGCTCATGTGCAATTTCATTTCCTTTCATTTTTCAGATTAGAATCTTCTTCCACCTTCATTTTACCTTCAATGTAGCTTTAATTAATCCACAAAGGAGATACTAATTCAATGAATATTCCTCAAGGATTCGTTGCAGTATAATTACCTTCTCATTTAACATTGAAGTGAGCTACACCGATTGATATGTTTGGTTTTATTTGTTGCACTCGATTAGTCTCTATTAGTATTTCTATCCTTCTCTCTTTCAAGTAGGGTTCCTACTCTTCTTTGTTTGGGAGTTTCCCAGCACAACATTGCGGCTTGGTCATTGGACCTCTCCTCTCAGCATTTGTTAGGTAGGCGTGATTCATTGAGTAAGGGGTTTATGGGGGTTAAGGCAATGGAGTTGCGAGAAGCAACCTGCAACAATGATGATTTGGGAATTTTAATGGTCGACAATAGTAGGATGAATGCTTAATGTTAGAAGCCAGAATTAAAGACTATTGGTTAAGGCTGGTTTAAGCGAGATAAGAGTTTGACTTGGTAATTTTTTTATGATCTGGAGATGGTACAGGATCTAAGATGGGTGCCCTTGCTTCTCTAACAAAGCAAGATAAATTGAAGTCAGGAATTCTTGAATCTATGACAAGGTTAATGAGGAATTGAAAGCATCATGGCCAAGCTACACAGGAAACATGTGAATGGTGGTTGATTATGGCTACTCATTGTTTTCAAAGCAGATGATAGGGAAGTTGTGGAGGCCACACATTGAGATGGCAAAGATGGTTGATTTTGAAGATCCTGGTGAATAGCCAAGGACCCAATACTAGAAGGATTTTGACCTCCATGTATGGTATATTCTTTTTAATTCTTTTGGTTGAAATGTCTTCTGATTTATCTGTGAGGAGTACCTTTTTGTTATGTGATCTTAGTTTAGGTAGTTCATTTAGGCTCAATGGTGGTAAAATCAAGGATGATTTGCGATATGTGCTTCCTTGGAACAAACATTTTGGTGCTTTTCATATGGAAAGGTTCGGTTGGATTATGGAGAGTAGTTCCAATCTCTTGTGCAAGATGGTATGGTGCATCTCCAAGGGGCTCTTTGTATCCTAATGATGTTGCTTTGTTTCCCTTTAGTTGATATTGCTAGCTGTGAGGCATTCTATTCTAAGTGAGATTATTTAACCTTTGTGGATTTTATTTTAAATATTGATAAACTATTAAGCATGAGTTAGTTTTTACGGATCTCACAATATCTTTGCTAGACTATATTTTAAATTGCTCACATTGGAGCTTAAAGGATGTGCTTTTTGGACAAGGTCTTAAAGCCCCCATCCTTAGTGAGTATTCTCTTATATAAGGTCCCTTTTTTATTTAGGATTTGGTATTAGAATTTTCCTTATTTGCACCCTATTTTTTATTACATGTACTATTTCCTTTCTTCTGTTTCTTTTTATGTTAACTGTTGTGTTAGAATGGCGCAGAGAGAGAGAGAGAGAGAGTAATGATATTAAGAATTTCTTTATTAGATTACCTCTATTCATGAAGAAGCTTAACCAACTAATTTAGATAATAAAGGATACAAATGTCTGGATTGAAGGAGATTATTTGCCCTTTTTTTTATCAAGAGATTCATCCCCCCCCGGGGCCATCAGAGGATAAGAAAAGGGGCATGCATGACAGTTAAAACTCAATAAGATATGTTCAGTGGTAACTAAATCTCAATTTTTTAACTAAAAATTATATTAAAATGTTGATTTAAATTAAATAATTATAAATATGAGAATATTAGTTATACGCTTATAATTAAATACCCTCTCCATTTTTAAAGGCACATGCAACTAATTTACAAATAATAAAAAAGCAAGTTAAACTTCATTACTAATATCTTATAATTTATCCTATCATTTTAAAAAACAAACCCTAATTAAATATCCATCTCTTTCCGCCCTTAGTCTATTCGATTAATCCATTTCTCTCCATGTAATTATTTATTTTCACGTTTCAGAAATATTTTTAAAATTACATTACTATTAATTACTTTATAAATCTACAAAATATCCAATTAATAATATAATTCACAAAAAGTATCACATAAATAAAAAAGATCAAATCCTTATAAATAATCTCTCACAAAAAAATAATCTACTGACTACTTGCCAAATAATTAACGATTTAGAGGCCTTTTTTTAATAATTAATCAACATTAATGTTCAGAGTCGGTGTGATTGCCCGTCGTCAAGGGGTTGATATGCCGTAGCTATACGAGGGCTAACCAGAGCGGGTCGGGTCTCGGAAGCTTCTAGTCCCTCTCTAACTCCGAAGTCGATCGTTACCTTGTAATTTCTGTCGTCGGCGTTTGTTGGGGACTACAGTTCATATTAGCAGATGGCTTTCTTCTCTGGAATCCGTCGCCTTATTCGCGATTCATCTTCTTCCTCTTCAATTCTCTATTCGCAAGGCTTCTCGATTCGTCTTTGTTCAACCCTCACGACCCCCAAGCTTTTCGTCAGTGGTGAGCTCGGCCATTCATGCTACATAATTTCAATTACTACGTATTAGTTACAGATTTTTGTGTTTCTTGTTGCTCTTGTCCTCTGCATCGTATTGAACGTTTCTATACATATTGAATGCGGTGTTCAGCATCTTCTATCTGCGTAATATGGTATATTGCTATCCTTGTAGTCTTATCCGAATGAAATGACTTTGTAATGGGTCGTTCATTTCCGTAGGCATATGCTATTCTCATGCCTTTCTGTTTAATAACTTCAATGCTGCTGCGTCACCCTTGCGGTTCTTTCTCTGAGTTTTTTTTTTTTTTTTTTAAAGCTTCATGTCCTGATAGCATATTCAGAAGCTTCGGTTTATGTTTCTTTGTATTTTTTGTATTTTGTTTCCAAATGAAATGGCTTTATGGGTTTTTACCTTTTTAGCTTCTGTAGACATACTTTATTTTCGTGGTTTGCTGTTGCTCTGCGTTGTATCACCCTTGTTGTCCTGGACTTCCTCTTTATTGCTTCGCGGCTCAGTAACATATGACTGGTTACGTCATTCTTATATCAAGTTGAAATTTAATATGATTTGAGATCAGATACGGATGGTGTACTGAGATATATTTCTGCAGCTGCGTACTTTAGAGACTTGTTCTGTGTAAAAGATGCAGCTATTTGAGGAAGTTGTTCTTCTCCCACAATCCAGTTGATAGTTACACTGAATTAGACATAAGTGGCCCAGAATGTGAAGTGCTGTTACGGAACATATGGGTGTTCCATATCCTTGGCGTTTCATAGTTTTAACATGTTATTTTATGGGTATGTAGAAGGTGAATGTGGAATATCAGTTTGTATTATTTGTGATATGATATGGTACACTTAGTAGGCTTTGGGTGTGCTTTAAATTGTATGTACCCGGTACCCATACTTTCCAATGGATTCGTTTTGGTTCCTAATCTATGTTTTTCTCTGATGTTACCGCTCAACTAGTCAAACATAGATGTCCCTCTTGCCAACACCTAACCCTCCTCACTAAAATGCAAGTGGCTGCTAACCAAGGAGTGAGAATGCATAGTTGCATGCCTGACCTGTATAAGGTGTGGTAAGGTATTTATTTAGTCACTACTCTCCACTTCCATAAAACTGAATTAAAAAGAAAAGCTGCAGGTGATTCCTCAAATACTTCCCTTGCCCTGTATTTACTCACAGACCCAACTGGAACACTAATCATCGATCACTGGAGTAGCCAATTAGGCCTATGATCAATACACTAGTGTCAGGACTGTTTTGCTTGATTACGAGCATGTGAATTTACAGATGAATATGGATTTCTGAGGAGCGATGTCATAGGTGACTTAGGTGGTACCGTGTAATTCATACATGAGTACAGATTGAAATGGAAAATGGCTCAATCTATCTGAGGAAAAGAAAAGAAACTATATCATCTGATATGCATTTTGGTATGGTTCAATCATACCTGACAAATGATGTTTAAATTCTCTCATTTCAAGGAAGTAAGAGCGGCAACTATGGGAATTGGATATGGTAGCCGTCCACTAAACTTCTATTTTGTGTGTCCATGGACATCTTTATCATATGCCACCCTCGTCAGTGAGTAGTGATGCAATGTGGAGAAGTTTACAGTTTAGAGTTGTAGTGTTATTATATGTTATGCTGATAGGTCCAACAACCTCTCAGTTGTTTTTTTTCATGCCCAACAACCTCAACAGTTAATAGTTGTTTGTGTGTCTAGTTGTCTCTTTAATTAATGTTGATCAAGCAAAGTTGCTGAGTGAGTGCTTAAATGGAAGGGTTGTTTCTCACAAGTGTGGTGACTCCCCAGTCTATCTAGTGCAAATGCTTTCCCCTTCATGCTCCTTCCCCCAGGGTAATTTTTTTTTTTTTTTTTTTTTACAGAAAATGGACTACCTTCCTATTTCTTCTGTTTTAAAAACTATCATTTGCACCATTTGATGTGTGGTGGGCTGGGGTAAACGGTGCATGGATTACATATCTTGTTTAGAATCTTATTTGTTGGATAAAAGATATTTGTATTATTTGTATCACTCTCCTTGTATGATTATTATTTAAAAAAAAAAAATTGACTGACTATAACATACTTTCTCTTGTATTTGTGAAAACGTGCATCTTCTTTTGTATTTGAACAGGTCTTTCAAGACTGACCACGGATGAAAAGCTGAAGGAAGCATTTGCTCCTTTTGGGCAACTGGTTGAAGGTGATAATTAAAAATTCTTTCCTGTCACACTAAATTCTAGTGGCCTAGTTTTTTTCTCTTCCCTATTGGGGAATTCTTGTGATCTAGCTTAGCTTGCTGTATTTTGTGAGTGACATTCAATAATGATGATTCTGCAGCTAAGGTCATAACTGATAGAATATCTGGAAGATCAAAGGGATTTGGTTTTGTAACTTACGCAAACATAGAAGATGCTGAAAAGGCCAAGGAAGGAATGAATGCTAAGTTTTTGGATGGATGGGTCATTTTTGTCGATCCTGCCAAACCAAGAGAACCTAAACCTCTGCAATCACAGACTAAGCCCTCTGAAACAGGTTTTACAGTAAACAAGACGGTTGGATGGTGTGGTTGATTGTTGAAGAAATTTTCTTCGTTTTTATTGTGTTAGGATTATTCTTGAAAGACTGTAATCATCTACACTAATCAAACAGCAATTGCTGGGGAAATTTTGAACCAGTTGGTATCTGGTGATTGGACTTGACATTTCAGGAAATTTTGATGTTAATTTGGAATTATTTTGTTAGTGTGATATGAAACTCTGCCCTCGTTGATTTATATGTTACCATTTATGGTTTCATAGAATCGATATAAAGCTTAGCTTTCTTGTGACCTTGATACCAAGTCAGCTTAAAACCACCATTAAGAATTGCCGTCAATTCCTCATCCATAGTTTTTAAACTCGTGAAGCCGCCGATTCGATTACGGTCTTTATCATGTATAACTCCTCCATTGGTAGCTTCTCCTTTTATATATACAGGTCCATCCACATCAATAGTATAACAAGGTGCAATTCTGGTTTGCCTTTGAAAGAAGAAAAGGGAGAGGAGGGTTTCGGTGTAAGCAAAAGTGGAGGAGCCTTCTTTTTCTTTTTCGCCGGCCAAAAAAGTGGATGAGCCTTGTGGGACTCGGGTGAAGGGGGAGAAAGACCAAGAGGGGTCCAGTGGGAGGGTCAATGTCGGTGAAATCTTGTGTGGACAAAATGATTAATTGACAGACACGGCGCTCAATAATCGTTTGTTTTTCCATCACTTAATTGGCAGCGATTTTTTTTCTGGCCAACCTTATTTGGCAATGTTAAGAGGGAAAGAAAAACATATTGTTGGAGGTATAACAATTTCACTAAAGAATTGAAAAAAATAAAAAAGTAAAGAAATTAACCCAAAGCATGTAAAATTGTTGGACTAAATCTATATTTTGTCTATGAAGGTTCTCTCAGTTTCTAAAAGATTTTGTGATTTGTCAAATGAAAAACGACGCAAAATTCTGGATGACACATAATGATACTTGAACACCTTAAATTTTGAAAATGGTATTCCACCATTTTTCTTTTTTCGGAAATGACAGATCCCAATAGAAAAATTTGGATGGACCAAAATGTCGTTAAATGATTTCTAAAAACAGAAATTCAATGGCATATAACAAAATTATAAACTGTATTTTTTGATCTGCAGCTTTTGAGGAGAGGAAATGAAATTTTGGGTCAATAGTACGTTCCGGCCAATTTTTTCTGAGCATAGCCGAAGGAAAATACTTCCAAAAGAGCTGCTGCTTCTAAACGAGTGAAAGCATGAACCAAGAAAGAGCTGCTGTTTCCAAACGGGGGAAAGCATAAACTAGGAAAAATATGAGGACGAGAAATCTTTCAGTATCCTCGTCGTGCATGCCCAAGGATTTTAGTTTTAATTTTACCAAAGCGATTTGTTAAACGGCTTAATTGATCTTCGCAGACAACAGCCCTCGTCGCAGGCAATGTTTGAATACCGTATAGCTTCCCTGCCAAACTGAGTTGCGACTTACTAATGGATATAAAAAAAGAAAAATATAATTGTTGATTTTTATAATTTTATTTTTTAACATTTTTAATATAAGTCAACATAATTTTTTTTTATTGTTTCATATTTCTCTAGTTTATTCACGCGTGTCCAAAAGAATAATGAGGTTGTAATAACAGTGTAAAATATGCTGAAATATTACCAACATTGCTAATATTTGTGCTAAGTTGGACTTATATTTTAACATTGAAACCAGGAACATGAAATAGGACAGGGTGAACAATGCTGTCAATAATTGAATCACAATTCCACTCAACACAAGTTAGCCGCACAAGTTACAAGTAACATTTCACACTGCTAGCCTTTCGCACATATTCAAAAGTATAAAAAAAAAAAATAATGTTGCAAGTGGAATAAGCTAAAAAAATCTGTTAACAAATAAAAAAAACTATAGAGAACTATAATTATGTTTATCCATATAAAAATAGCAAAGCCAATAGAACTACTCCGAAAAATAAATTGACAGCTTACCAACAAGCATACCCACTAAAATACAACATGATATTGGTCAAAGCTAACCAATGAAATTGCGTTACTTAGTTCCATAGGCATGTTAACTGTTGTGAAAATTAGTCAATATATCAACAAATTAAAAGTATCGAATTAATCAAAGCATGCCATATTATGGCTAGTCTCAATATTCAAAAGACATGAGAAACTAGTGTCTCGTCTAATCACACAACAGTTACACGATAACAGGACATGAATACCACTCAAACACATAGGCTCTGTATTTCACAGATTACATTTATACTGGAAAGAAAGCGTAAAAGCTAGTCGAAGGTGAATGATAAGGCCATGCCAAAAATTTGATACCATGATGAGCCAAGTTCAGCATCTGCCTCTGACAACCTATAACCACTCCAATTCAAGTAACTTCAGGGATGTGGCACCCATCCCAATGTTTAATATGCATATTAGTTGGCACGACTTTTAAAGACATCAAGACCCATCTCAGTTGGATCAGTTGCTTGCAACTCTACTTGAATTCCATCCAGCTCTCTCTTGAATCTGTCCTTCGAGCTAGCGTAAATCATCTTGCTTCTGACCCTTGATGTATCTGGGGACCTGCACAGAAAAACATAAAGATGAAAAGTCAACAATCGAGACCAATCTTCATGTTGAGAATATTTTTCAAGTTCCAAATCAAGAAGATGAGTATTTAAAATTCTGAAGACAAAGTTTGACTTTCACGCTAGTTAAGATTTTGAGCAAGTATAATCTGTTTGGGTAATAACCATCCTAATCTTACATAGATTAGAAGTTCAATGAAAGTTATTTAGATGAAAATGATTTATTTGAATAACACTTATAATAATCATGCATCAATTAAGAGTCTCAGAAAATGGATAAGAATTTCCTATAACGTCATACAGTGGCTTTGATATCCTACCAGTCCAACAATGGAACTACGAAGAGGGTGTGATCCGGGCATTGGATAATCATGATCGAGTGATTTGAACATCACAATCAAGCTCAGACAAAACGGCAAGAATTATAGAGATGTGATCAGTGCTCTGGTGGTGAATGTGAGTCTGTTTACAGAAATATTATGTGTTATTTATCTCCTTTTTTTTTCTAGTGAAATGCTTTCTGTGGTTGAGGTCTCAACACTTTGCATGCCTAAGAACTGAACTTACCATGCAATGAAGAAAATTCTGCTCTTGGGAACATTTCCTTCCGTCAGAAACTCAAAATCATAAACAGCATATCGACACTCATCAGCAGGAAGACTGGCAGTGAAATCATCATATCCTTGGGTTGGCTCTCCAAGCTTCTCAACAATAACTTGCTTCTGATTTTCCTCAATCTTGAAAACTATGAAACGATATGTCCTTTTTGCCTTGAGCTCCAAAAACTTAAGCTTGCAGTCATCATGGACAGCCATACCTGATGCCGCATTAGCCTGTCATAATGCAAAGCAGGCAACAAATCAAGTAGTTTACACTATTCTAAATGATTATGGATATGGTCTATGCCAAACAGGACACAACTCGGCAGGAAAGCTTGCAATTGGATTGGAAGACCGCATGAACACTACATATATACATAAAACTATTAACCCTTTCACTATGTAGTTAACGAGGGAAAAGAGTAGATAACAGTCAGTGACGAGTTAACCATTTGTAATAGTTAGGTCGTATTCAGTGATTAATATCAGTATAGTGGATGATCAGCTTTTCAACGCACATCAACATGAGACACTAAAGATTTTTTCTGTTTTAGAAGAGAGTCTTCGCAATCATTTATCAGTATATAAATAATCCTCAATTTACTATAACAAAGAGACAGGGTAGATCCAAATCATTTCGTCCCCCAAGTCCCCAGATGGGGCAAAATTAAATATCATTTCAGAAGATCCAACCCTAGTAAATAATAATTTATAAGACAATTCTGAACATCAAAAAGACGTAAAAGTCAGATCTGGGAGCAAATGACACGAGTAAAACGAGCTAATCGGATAAGCATGCCAGTATATTTCTTCAATTCTAAGAGTTCAAAATATCAGATCGACCTCGAAACAACCACGGACTTTAAAATACAGAAATCGATCAATAATCTGCACAAAAGAAGAGGTTATATGGGGGGAAACAATAATCACTACCCAATTTCAATAGATTTTAAACACAGCATCCAATTTCACATCGCGTGTGATTGCGGTATTCTAGTGTTTAACCTTTCGTCGAAGTTCCAGATATCCCCGCGAAGGGAGTAGCAGTAAAATGGAAATCGAAATCTAAGGAAGAGTAGAAAGAGAAGAGAAGACTGACCATCTCTGGCGCTTTGACAGGACAACGATTCGAGACAGCTATCGACTGGGGAGGAGATGGGGGAAAGAATATAGGAAAGAACTTGGTGCCCAAAATTTTGTAGACGCCGTTTGTTCTTATATTCTTGCTGCGTAAGGATTTTTTTTTTTTTTTGTTCAAGCATTAATAATAATAATAATAATAATCTCATTTTTCAAAATGTCAAAAGTCCCACGAATCGAATAAAAAGCCCTGTAAATTTTTAATCAATTAGATCTTCGACTCGAATAGTTTTACTTAAGTTTAAGCCCCTAAGGAATCCAAATCTAAAAATCTTCAATGCACACAAATGTTCACCACTTGCCTAGGAAGAGAAAGAGAGAGAGATGGTTTTTGTTTAATTTTTTATCATGTCATCGTATAAATTCATAACCTTTAAGGAGGTCATCATTTATGTTTATTTGAGAAGTGGTATTGTGCTTTTTGGGTGATATTTAGCATTTTAAATTTTATTTTCTTGCAAAAACAAGTATTAGTCTATATAAAATATAAAATAAGGTTAATGAACATTTTGAAACTAAATTATTATTTAAATAGTATCCTGAATATTGAATTTTAAAATGAACATATTAAATTTTAAATTATTATTCAAGTAGCAAATTACTTCCTGCTGTTAATTTATATATAACCACCATTATTTTTGACTTTGTGAGGAGTAATCAAAGATTGATGTGACATTAATTTTCTCTAAACGCATGACATGCCAACTAAGTTATATAACAGTCAATGTTAAACGAATAAACAATAAGGATAGTTTGTTCGAAATTTATAGGTTAAGTAGAGCTTTTACTTATTTTAAAAGTTTAAAATTTAGAATATTATTTGAGTAATAATTTAAAATTTATGATATTATTAACTGTATAAAACTTATAA